ATTTTTCGGCCCTACACCTAGCACCTAGCCGATGTGGGACTACTTGTTCGTGACAACATGCTCATACAAATCTCTTTGTGTTTATTGCGAGGTGACCTCTGAATCAAGTGTCTACTGGATGATCTTTCGTCCTGTAAAGGTATGTTTCTAATTCAATCTAACGTATCCAATGGTTCTTCTTTGTTGAGAGAGTGAAATGTCCGCATACAACATGATAGATTAATATGTGGGTTTCCTGATTTAAGTTATGCAATCCTAGATAAAATCCTGTTGAAATACTACATAAAGTTTATTCAAATTCGTCTTAGATCTTGCTTGAATGCTACCTTATTTTGTGCATGCAATGGTATTTCCCCTTTGGATTTACGTGTCAATTAAATTCTTGTTACATCGTTGTCATGCAAGTGAATACATTTAAATCTTTTGGTTGACACTAAAATTCAGGTATATAAAGTCATCTCTTTTGCAGGTGCCAATATCTAAATTAGCTTATGTTGTGATATTTAATGGTTCCTCTTACTCTTAAACAATTCCTTATGCAATACTTGAGATTCATATGAAGGTTTATTAAATCTTTCAGATTTTTGGTGAGATTACATATGCGACATTTAAATGAAAGATACATATGAAGTAAATGGGATGATTTTGTATAGGAAATATGTGGAGCTTCTTTATGCTGTCTCCCTTGAAATTCTTATATAAATCTTGGTGGAAATGACCTAATTTTAATGGTCTTGTTTGGAAGAAAATCTTAAGGTTTAGAGTTTGGATTTACAAAAACTTGGAAGTTTAAACAGTTTCATTTTGTGGAAATTATGAAGTTTATATTGCTTTGAATTGTGAAGATTTGAAGGACTTCATCATGCATTTATGATTATTAAAGGTGCTTAAATATTTTTAAGGGTTGGTATCAAATATGTGTGCCCTTTGGAATGCTTATTGTTGCTATGGGTAGAGTTGAAGCTTGAATGAGATCATGAAATCCAAATCCTTTTGCACTTTCATAATTATGATCATACAATTCTTAAATTCCAACAGAATGGATTAATTCTCATATCAACTTTTCGATGTGCCTTTGCGAGGTGAATACGGTCGTGGTGGGAATATTGGATGATCACAAGAGTCACCTTGGAGCAAACGAATCAAACTACATCAAACATCAAGTCGGTGAACAATCTCTCTCCTACGTGGCGATATATGAAAAACTACTCAGAATTCATGAGGATAACACAACAATATATATATATAAAAGTCACAGAACAAAACTTAACAGAAGTATAAGGACTTATCTCAAACTCTTCCCAAGCAATTCTCTGAAGTCTCTTGACCGACCTTAACACCAATAGACTCACACAAGACTCTAAAACACTCACAATCACAAAGACTCACCACCCTCTCACTATTGTGGCCGCCCACTCCAATGGTGATCTAACCTACCAAAAAAATGACTATATTTTCGTGTGAAAATCTTTCCTATAAATAAAGCTCTGAAAAACACCAAGAGTCACTTCATACACCTTTACGAAATTCATCCAAATTCAATGGATAAAAACTAAACTGTTTATGGCACCATGGTGCTAGCCTTCGAGAACTCCTGACACCTAGGCGTCAAATCCTGACACCAGGTCAATGTTTGCTCCTTTTGACCTATTTTGCTTCATTTTTGTCCATTTATACTCCTTTTTGCTCATAAACTCCATTTCACTTGAAATCAAAAACACGCAAAATACCTTTCATTAAAGTTTAATATCCTTAAGAATGAGTAAAAAAATGTATATATAAAAGTAACACATTTTAAGGCATATCATAAAGCATCAACAATTTTCATAATTTAGGGTCATTTACAAGCACAGCTCACAATTCTTATGTATTTACATATTTAATACCTAAACTTTCAGATTTACATGCATAAAAGTTTTTAAAATCACATAAAAATTTACTTGCATTTTTAAAATTGGAATAAAACTTTTTATGCATAAATTTATGATACCAAAACCTTATGAATATAAATATGAATTTTTAGATGTTAGATATTTAAATACATAAGAATTTTGGTGTGTATATAAATTTCCTAACTTAAATTATTGTAATATTTCATTATTTAAAAAGATAAAGTACTTGTGCATTTGCTTCCTAAAGAAAAATATAAAGAAATAATAAATAATTTTATATTAGTACAGTAAATTATGTATATTAATTTTAAGCTATTATACTAAATTATGATATATGAATGTTTATTATATATAAGCTAATTGATTTGTTCAAAAAAGTAATGCAATATAAAATGAATATAATATAGAAGTAATATGTTATATTTGAAATACTTTAGAGTTGTTTAGTTCAATATAAAATAAGCGCACAACTTCATATATATTTTTTATTTATTTTGAAATATAGTGAAAATAATATTGTTGAATTTGAAACTATATTGGAGTCACACCAAAGGAATAGAATGTGAAACAATGACGAGGGGGAGGGGGAGGGGGAGAGAGAGAGAGAGAGCGCACACAATAGTGAATAGTAAAAGTATTCTTGATTGGCTTTTACTGAAGAAATGATCCCGTATTTATAGAAAGCGACTATAAAAAGAATAATTACATATTTGCCCTACTTTAATGGGAGTGTTACAGGGTATTTGAGGTAATTACATAAATGAGCATATGGTTTGGTTACCCACTTACCCAATTGACTGAGATCAGTGGAACTTGATTCGACAAGGCTTTTTTGTCTGACTATGCTAAGTTGGGGTCGCCAGTGGGCTTCTGATGGTCTTCGGTTCGACCAAACTTGAATCGGTTAGCTTGATTATGTCAGTCGGCTCTAGTCCAGTTGTTGACTTTCAACCCTAGATGGGGAACTTCTATCTTCAGAATAAAACTAGGATGTCTGGCAGAAGGTGAATCACGGTAATCTTATGGGGGTAGCTCACCCCTTGCAAAATGTCTTTTAGGGTGTTCATAGAGTATATCATGGTAAAACCTTTGGTCTTGTGATCAAGAGTTTTGGAAGCTCTTATGAGGTGGATGGGATTTATGGGGCGGGATTTGGGTTGATATCATCTTTTGGCTTGATATATCTTGGTCTTTGGTTCGGAAAGTCTGCACCGATTTGCTTCGGGTTTTGATCTAAGGAATCTGCACCTTTTCAATTAAGTCATTTGATCTTTTGCATGAGCCCTACTGATCGTATTTTTTGTTGTTCAATCTGTTAAATTTCGTCAAGGTTCATGTTGACATGTTTCTGATGTACAAATATATTTCAAAGTTTATGTGGCCTTACATAAATTATTGATGGTCAGGGGAGACAATAGCAGATGATTTATAATTGAATCCCTCAGACATTCCAACAGCATGAATGCGAGTTACATCCGCATAAATTTTTTAAAACGGTTGAACTTATATAAATCGGCCAGATTCTATGAATTAACAAAAAAGGAATTACCCGTTATTCTGAGTTAATTAAGGGCGGATATCTCATGCTAACATGCAGTCGGAGACACGTCATCACACTATAGAGAGAGAGAGAGAGAATGTGATCTCCTCCAACGCTCGTGAGTCATGACTAGTTTAATTCCATTGTCTGTTAGCTCACCTTTCGTGTATGGCCTCACATTGGTCGCAAGCTGCAAGAGTACAAGAAAGGTTCACGGGCACTCTCCCTCTTTCCCGTTAAAGAGTTCAAAATATTCACTTTTTTTAATGCTTTTCTTTTATATAACAATGTTAACTGCCGTACTGAAGAGTCCGCACTACTGGCTGATTTCTGTGATTTAGAAGATAATATTTTTGGATTTATTGATGTGAAAATCATACAAACATCAACTTTATAATTCTCTACTTAACTCTAGAAAAAATAAACTGAAGTAAAATAAATAAATAAGTTCATGTGAAAGCCTAGAAGCTTCTCATGTTCCTCCTCTAACCTCCAAAACAATCATGTGACTCCAACTAAGAGCCAAAATACACTTGAGTTAAAATATTTTTTAGAAAGCTAATTTTGTGACATGCTTGAAGCATCTGGGTTCAAAGTTGGAAGAGCCGCATTCCATACCACATATCACAAGCATATTCTATTTTATTTTTCTCTTTTTTCCGCATGATGGGTTCATGTGAGTAAAAAAGTTTCCCACTAAAATGTGGTGCATAGTGAATAAGACCATGACACCTCTCACCGATTATATAAGACAACCTATAGCTTCCCCTTCATATCCTATATTCATTTTCACATCTCTGATTCTTAAACGCTCCTTCTTCGACGGGTTATCTTCCACTGCTTTGCCTCAGCAATGGCAGCTCTTCATGGGCTACTGTACATTGCAATGGGGATCTTAGTACTTCTATCATGCTTCGAAGGCTCAAATGCAAGGCTCCATGACCATAAATCAAAGAATCGCAGAGAGAGAAGGGGCATCATATCTGATCCCCCGGATTTCCCTGCTGTCGGGCCACCGACAAAAAGCTTTGACATGGATAACTCGAGCTCCGACCCCTGCGTCTTCGATGTTAGAGCATTCGGAGCTGTTGGAGATGGCTCCACTGATGACACAGAGGCCTTTCGTTCTGCTTGGAGAGCTGCCTGCACGGCAGACTCCAGCATTCTCCTTGTCCCATCAGATGGTGTTTTCATGATCACCTCCACAATCTTCTCCGGCCCGTGCCAGCCAGAATTCGTCTTCCAAGTAATCTATCTACATATTCTAATCTCTCTGTCTCCCGGAAACACTAGTGTCATTTTGAATATGCGCTGATATTAGGTAGATGGAGTCCTGATGCCTCCCAATGGTCCAAAGTTCTGGCCTAAGAAGGATAGCAAGAGGCAATGGCTAGTCTTCTACCGTGTAGATGGCATGACATTTAGAGGAGCTGGCACAATACAAGGCAATGGGGAAGAATGGTGGAATCTCCCTTGCAAGCCCCACCGAGTAAGTTACTCGCCCTCTCTTCTTTCTATTTTTTTCTAAAAATCTCTCCTTTTTAACCATAACTGATGGCTTATCTAATTCTGCAGGGTCCAAATGGATCAACATTACCAGGACCTTGTGACAGCCCTGCAGTATGAATGAACTACAGAACAAGTCTTCTTCGTACAGCTTTTCAGATTTGTTTTACCATTTTCCTTTATTTTATTTGCAGCTTATTAGGTTCTTTATGAGCTCCAATCTGACAGTGAGAGACCTTTACATAAAGAACAGTCCTCAGTTCCACATTAAGTTCGATGGCTGTGAGGGAGTTTACATTGATGGCCTATCGATTAACTCTCCTGCTCAGAGCCCCAACACAGACGGAATCCACATTCAGGATACTAAATATGTGGGCATATATAACTCCATGATCAGCAACGGTACTTCATGCTATTTCTCTCCAGCTGCTCCATTTTTCTTTGGGTTTAGGAAGGTCTGCGTGCCCGCACGCCTGATAAAGCTCTCCTCCCTTCTCCTGCAGGCGACGACTGTATTTCCATTGGTCCTAGCTGCTCATCAGTGGACATTGAAAATGTTACATGTGGCCCAGGCCATGGGATTAGGTCAGTTTGACTTGAACCATTCATTTATTTGCATCACAATACATCTATATATGTTTATGAATGACAGACTAATGTTGGAAAAGGGTGGTGTATGGTTGATGGATGACAGCATCGGAAGTCTAGGCATGCAGAACTCGGAAGCTTGTGTGTCCAACATATCCGTGAGAAACTCAGTGATAAGAAACTCGGACAATGGAGTGAGGATCAAAACATGGCAAGGAGGTATGGGATCAGTATCAGACATCACATTTGATTCAGTGTATATGGAGAATGTGAAGAACTGCATAATAATAGATCAATACTACTGTCTGAGCAAAGAGTGCAGAAATCAAACTTCTGCTGTGTATGTGTGGAATGTTTTGTATTCAAATATCAAAGGCACATATGACGTGAGGAGTCCGCCCATACACTTCGCCTGCAGTGACACGGTGCCTTGCACCAATATCACCATGTCGGAGGTGGAGCTTCTTCCTTTCCAAGGAGAACTCATTGATGATCCATTCTGCTGGAATGCATATGGAGAGCTGCAAACACTCACCATTCCTCCTATTTCCTGTCTTCAGGATGGGATGCCTCAATCGGTGCAAGAGACCATCAGTCTTCAATGCTCATAACCAGCTTGTACTATCAATTTACACATAAAAATATTTATATGTAACTAATTAGCACATAGAAATGAGCCACTCACATGGTCCAAGTACCCATCCTTTTCCCTTTTCTTTCTCATGTTTCAATGTTTAGCCTGTGTTGTGCTTGGATGCCTGCCTGCACGACCTTTATTATGTATCAAAACATAAATCATGTGACGTGCCACAAAAGGAAGCAACTAGCTGGTAAGCCTGGGCACATGTATGTAGGTTAATTTTTTATCGCGATTGTGAATGTGATGGTATTTGCGACATTAATAGAATTTATTGTTTAAAAAAAGATGAAAAATCTCTTCCAGAAAAAAAAAAAAAAAAAAAAAAAAAAAGCAAAAAAAAAAAAAACGGCAAGATAACTCCAACTAATCCCAAACACCATTCAACGACTCACAACCGGTCTTTGTTGACCCACCCATTTGGACGGCCCAGATCGTTCTCTTTCCAAGCTGATCAAGTTGCCTACAATCCGGCAATCGGAGATAACCAGACCACCTCGCAATACAGCTCCACTCACCAAACCTCAACCGAATGGAACCTAATCCTAAATAACAGCCAAATCCCTAACCACCCCCACCCCTTAATCCTCAGTCATGCCCTCCGCCGGAGACCACCACCGTTCCGCCACCCTCGCCGCCGGTGTTTCCGGCGATGGGAGCGACGAAGCCACCGACAGCGAGGACTTGGGAGCCTTCGACCGGAATCGGCGGTGGTCCTCCAGTTCCGGTGGATCAGAGGAGTCACGCCGTATGTTCCAGAAGCTCTGGACTGACGCCGACGAGATGAAAGTTCTGCAGGGATTCTATGAGTTCACGTCCAGGAGGGGGACTACTCACGCCAACTACCAGCACGACACCGGGCCCTTCTTCGACGACATCAGGACCAGGCTGCAGTTCCAGTTCAACAAGAACCAGATCGTCGAGAAGCTTCGCCGCCTCAAGAAAAAGTATCGCAACGCCGTTGCCCGGATCGGATCTGGAAAAGGTTCCGTCTTTAAAAGCCCCCACGATCGGGCCACCTACGAAATTTCCCGCAAGATATGGAGCTCAACCTGGAAGCGCAAGCCCAGAAATCCGCCGCACTCGGAGACCCCCCTGACCTATCCTGATCAGACCCTCGCCGTTTCCTGCGGATCGGAAAGCGCGGTTGTCCAGGTAGCCGTTGCAGAGAGTTCCGCTCGGGTTCCGCATGGCATCCCCATCCTCGTTTCTTCCCTGTCCGGGCCGCCGCAGCCGACGCACTCCCCGCCACCACCGCCACTACAGGCGCCTGCTACGAAGACAGGACATACTGTTGAAGAGGACGCGCTGAGAATCTGTTTGGCCCCGCTGTTTAAGGAACTCCTGCAGTCCGCCTTAGATGGCGCTACTACAGCTGGGGCGGTGGCCCCTCCATTGTGGGTGCTGACGGCCTTAACTGCTGCGGAAGCTTCGGGTAAGAAGGATGAGAGGTGGCGGCTGCAGCAGATTCTTGAGCTGGAGCTGTACTTGAAAAGGTTGGAGCTTGTCGAGGAGAGTGTAAGGTCGGCGCTGGAAAAGCTTAGATCAATGGGTAGCTGACTTCCAAGCATAAACCCTAGACAGCGGAATACTTTTCTTTCTCTGTGTTAGAAAACGTGAAGTCCTTTTGGAGCAGTTACTCTTTGTCCATTTCCGTTTCTAAATCTGTTTTACATGATCCAGGAATCAGAAAAATAGAAGACAGAAATTGAGAGGAGATGTGTAAATGGTTTCTAACTTTTATACCTGTGACTAAATCCTTATTTGATTCTGTTCTTCTTGTTTAGTTCGAGCGAGCGAACCACAGACTCCTTGGATAGTCACAGTTTGATTCAATGATAAACTAAACGGAAATTTACATAGTTAGCACTCAATTCTTATGCATTTACATATCCCTCATCGAAATTTGGATTTTTACAAACATAGCATCTTACCTATTCATGAAAATGTGAATGCCATTGTTTCTCATTATTGAAAACTCAAAGTGCGATTGTAAAAATGAGAGTTTTAGTATGAGATACATAAATACATAAGAATTGGGCGCCGTGTATGTAAACTCCCCATAAAATTATCAACTATTTTCTTTATTGAGCTATATTCATAAATTTGCTGCAGACAAATGGAGGTCAGGCTCAATTGTGTGTGAGCGTGATCAGAAGGCGACTTGTTAACATAATCGTGCAATTAAAAGAACACATTACGTAAAATTTGACCAAAAATTGTGGTTGTATCTACTTGCAATTTGCAACTTTCTGCTGCATTTAATATCGCAAACACAAAGAAATTACTATGAGCATATTTTTCTTATTATTTGGCTTATCTCTACTATATATAAATTTGGAGAAATTTGCCCAAAAGTTCAAAGGGATGATATCTATCTATCTATGTATTTATGGTAAGTTAATTGATTTTATTGTTGGCGCTTATTTTTTTATTTATTTTCATCTGTTTGAAATTGGGATGCATTTAGCTTATGTTGATTCAAATTTTCACAAGAACAACATTAATAAATTGTTCATAAGTAATTTCAAATAGGAGCTAAATAAAAATACACTAAAAATGAAACAAATCATACATAAACAAACAATCAACTCACCCTTGCTTTTATTTACACTAAGTATCACAAAAATAATGAACAATTAAATAAACTAAGTTGTCCTTTATTATGTCACTATATTGATCATATACTTACATATAACTCCAAACTATATAAATTTATAAAAAAAATTATATTCCATTGTCAAATACCCATCATTGTATACCTTAAACTAGTAGATTGACTTTTTGTCAGCTCTTCAATTTTTAAAATTTCATCTAGCTTTTGCTCAAAGATTTAATCACCATTGGCTCAATAGTTAACTGGATTTTTTGTTTCCCTACCTTATACTCCTTTGAGGCCAATGTCCTTGATGTAGACCGCAATCCAATCCATCGGATGTCTACTTAGGAAAGTGTATGCTTTCTAATATAACAACAACTACCCCATCTGAGTTCCACCTTTTTATTCTCAATTTGCATGCTCCTTTCGTTGAACAACGTCTCTTATGGCTTTTAGTTGTTGTCTTTTTATTATCACCTTGTTGATTAAAATCAAGCCTACCAACATCCTTATTCTATTAAGATGGCTAATATATCAATGTTTTGCTTGGTGTCAACCTATTATGACTAATTCATACCTCCTTTAGTTACAATATGCTTCCTTCATTGCTCATTTAATAAGTACCAAAATATTTCCTAATCAATGGATTCCATTAACACCTTTCACCCATCTAAATTATGTTAACACATAAAAAACAAGGCTCTAACATGTCAATGGATTGATCAACCTATTTCATACTTTACTTATCTCTAAAGGATGACAGTGGTTATATATTCCTCTAAAGGGCTTACAACAGCCATCCACATCAGTCGACCAATTAAGAGTCAATAATCTCATCATAAATATTTAAATGAATTGTATATATACTATTGAACTCATATAAAGAAGGGTGTTTCATCCACAACATTTTCTTCTTTCCTTCATCACTTAATCATCGAACCTCATGTAGATCTCGTATTATGCATTATTTTCCCTTTTTATAAGAAATTTTTTTCCCACTCCACACCATGAGCGTAAGCTTTAAATTGAATCAAATCAACTGACAAATTTTTATATCTTATCATTCTTCCTCCTTTTCTAATCGACCTGACCCCATGCAATGACAATTAGATTATTTTATTGCAAATCTACTAACAACAAACATGCTCACTTATTTTCTTCACTTAACCTAGAAAGTATTTTGGGTCGAAGGCCCACCCTCTCCATCATCTCTCTCTCTCTCTCCAATCATTAATACTAACTACATTGTGTCCCCATAATGGTGAACCAAGTTTCATGGTTCATGTACTTTTTATCTTCTTTGATATTATATTAAACCAAGTTAACTAAGATTTACGAACCATCATTAACACCCTTGTTTCTTGAGTTATAACTTTTTTAGAAAGCAAAGATGTGCATATGTTGGGCTAGGATGCAATCGTATTGATGATAAAAATTAGAGTTATGTGGGTCTCAAGGTTTACTACGTTGTTCAGATAAAAAGTAGGATCTTTTAAATGTTGAGGAAAGAAAGTACAAATGGAGATTAAAGATTATGGGCAATTATGTTGGGGATGAAATTTGTTGTCGATGCCTAAAAAATTTAATCGAATCAAGCTAGGTGATAATGTTTGGTTACTCATCACAGACAACCCAAAATGAATGAAGCTAGATATCATGCAAAGTTTGAGATAGATTTATGCCATTTTTTTCTTAGAATTTTGAAGTTCATGCCTAGCTTTTCATTAATAAAATGACAGAAAAAAGTCATCAGACAGGTGAGTAAACTTAATTCACCTCACTTAAGACAGCCAAAAAAACATAAAAGGAGAAACAAAAACAACACAAACAAAAGAAAATGTGCTCTGACATTCTCTCTAGCAGCACAAAAGAAAATGCCATCCAGAGCAATCTAATGGACGGAACCGAGTAAGTCCTCCAAGGGAGCAACAAGCGAGCAGTGAGAACAAACATATCTTTAAGCCAAAGAAAAATACATGTGTCACTAGAAGATATGTAGAAAGAAGCTAACTTCAATTTCCATATATTTGAGAAAGATATATACACCCCAAGACATAAAGTGACTAAATTCAAGAAATAGAAGAGAAAATAGATTTCAAAAGTTCATACATTGAATAACTAGTTGAGCCATTCATCACTAGTTTACTACCATCGTTGCTTCAAAAAAGTGTTTGCTTAATGTCCAAATAGATGCATAAGTGCAAACAACAAAAGATAATAAAAGTAATATATGTTTCCCTTTCAATCAAAAAAGTAGTATTTATATCTTGAAACAGTAAAATATCTCAATCAGAAAATCGAAATAGAAAGCCCCAGTAGAAGAGAAGGAACCACCAGAACAAATGCAGTTAGTGAGAGTTGTGTCTCTCTAAAAAGAAATCCCAATATGTTTTTGATGAAGAACCAGGCAAACCATAAGCATAAAAAGTATAAAACCTTCCCATCAAAATGAGGATATCAACATCCAGTTTTCAACAACCAACTCAATAAAGAAAAAAGGAAGCAATAATGTATTTCCCTTATAAAGGGATTAACCACCCCCAATCAACTAATAACATTCTTCCATAGAGAAGCACAATTCTCCAAACTAGCCACCACAAAATATAAAGCAAAAAGAAAGGAGAGCACAACAACAGGTAAACCCCATATAGTAGGAAATCTCAAAATCTAGAAAGAACGACAAAGAAACCGCCAATCATCTAAGGAAATAAAGGGGTGGTGCAGCAAACATTAGCAGCAAAATTCCAACCACTAGGGGATTAACCACGCCTAATTACATAGAAACAACATTCCATAGAGAATTATAATTCTCTAAACCAGCCACCAAAAAACATAAAACATAAGGAAAAAAAAAACATGACATGAAGTAAAACCCATCTGCAATTTCAAAATCCAAAAATAATGGCAGAGAAAATCCCTATCATCAAAAAAAGTAAAAAAAAATAAAGAGGGGCAATGCAGAGGAGAAACAAAATGTCTAAGGAACCAATTAAAACATGAAAAACACTTTAATGTGGGAGGGAGCAACATCCCTAAACTTCCATCTTCTATTTTTCTCTTCGACAACAAAAAAAATTTTGAAAAGAAAATTTTCTTTGTGCTTAAAGGAACTGTTGAAGTTCTCAGACTTTCTTTCTAATCATATAAAACATGAAGTGATATGAGTGGCAAGCAAAAATGATTTCCTAGAAATTTTGCAACTAATTATTTCACTATAGACCATGAGATTGCTTAAAGAATATCTATGGTTAAAAAATTGACAAAAAGTGATACTATGTTTTAGAATAATAAAGTTAAAATTGCATTAAGAAAACTAGAATAAGACTCTTTGTAACAATGACACAAAATATATTTAGAAGAAACCAAAATGTCCCTAGAGGAAAGAATATCGATTATTTTGACCCCCCCCCCCCCCCCCAATACAATATAATAAAAAAGCAACAAATTTGAGTGTGTGGCCCTTAAATCATATATTTTTATACTAATAAACTAGAGGATGACCATCATATAAAAAAAAAATGATGTTATGTGAATACAAATTTTTTTCTAATAAAAATAAGTCATAAGAGAATCAAATATCAAAGTTTGGAGGATGAGATCAGTGCATTTAGTTGGAGTGTTTTGAGAAGTGAGAAAATTTTAGGAGTGATCTCTGATATAGTGAAGAGGTAAAGCATTCATTGGATAGCTGAACTAAGTAAAAACTAGTTCCTCAAACCTTTCATAAAGTGAAGTGTCTTCCAACCAAGGTCCATAGAAGAAAAAATCCTACCATTTTTTTGTGACATAAAGAGTGAGGCCTTTTTAGAAGGTGATAATCAATTTTCTTTAGTAACTCTAGAGATTAGAGTACTTATTCTTAATTTTAAATCATAGAGAGCCTAAATTTTGGAATTGTTTGTTGAAATCATTTTTGGATGTCATATATGTCAGTGTCCGCTTGAGTGCTACAAGAATATTTACAGCTTTATGTATCTTAGGAAATCCATCTGGACCATTTGATATGTGACTTAAGCATGAAAGTAAGGCTAGTCTCAATTTAGCCCTACCCGGGAGAATTCGTCGTAGGGTGATGTTAATTTCGGCAAAGGACATGTTTAATGTCTAACTTAGAATTTAAAGGCCATGCCCTGCCTATTCAGAGCCTCTGGCTACCAAAGAGAGTCATCAAACTCTCCCATGCATATTTTGGAAAAGTAGGATTTCAGACCAATCTACCTGTGTCAGGGTTAGGGAAGTATGTCGACACCAAAATACTCAATTTGAAACCTCT